GGGGGGTGCAATTCCTTTGGAAGGCAGGCTGGCCTGGGCCTGCAGGGGGAGCCCCACGGGAGCTGTGGCCCTGACAGACCTGCTGGGGAAGCCAGCCGGGTACTCGGTGAGAAAACTCTGGATTACAATCGCATGTATAACACCAATCCAAGGTTATAACAATTCTAGGAATAAATCTACCCAAAATGAACAAGACCTTTCTGTACAAAATTACAAAACTTGGCTGAAAGAGGGTAAAAAAAAAAAAAAGGGTGGGGGGCTGGGTTTGTGGCTCAGTGGTAGAGCACTTGCCTACCATATGTGAGGCACAGGTTCCATTCTTAGCAATAAATGAAATAAAACTATATTTCTGCTGGCCAGGGTGAATGAATAAAATAAAGATCCATCAATATCTTAAAAAATATTTTTAAAAAGATGGTAAATAAAGCCTTAACGTGCAATGTTGTCATCATATCAACCTCCCCAAATTGATCAGTAGAGTCAGTAAATTTCAATCACATCCTATAAAATTTTTCAAAGAATCGGACAAAAATCAAGTCACAAGAATAAAATAGCCTGCGTGGTGGCCACACCTGTGACCCCAGCAACTTGGGAGGGTGAGGCAGGAGGGTCACAGGTTCAAGGCAAGCCTGGACAACTTAATGAGACCCTGTCTCAAAATAAAAATAAAAAGGGCTGGGGATGTAGCTCAGTGACAGAGCGCCCCTGGGTTCAGTCCCAGACCCAAGAACAAATGAGTCAACCGAGTCTGGGGGTCTGGTATGTGGACTTACCCGGGAGGACAGCACTGAAATGCTTGCAAACAGCACTTAACCTGAGCAAGGGTGGATGCTGCTCAGTCTTGTATTATTGTTGTTGTTGTTGTTACCAGGGATTGAACTCAGGGGCACTCACTCACTGAGCTGAGCCGCATTCCCAGCCCTATTTTGTATTCTAGTTAGAGACAGGGTCTCACTGGGGACATAGCTCAATTGGTAGAGTGCTTGCCTTGCATGCACAAGGCCCTGGGTTCAATCCCCAGCATAAATAAATAAATAAATAAATAAACAAACAAATAAATAAATAAATAAATAGCTATAGAGACAGAGTCTCACCGAGTTGTAAGCGCCTTGTTTTTGCTGAGGCTGGCTGTGAACTTTAGATCCTCCTGTCTCAGCCTCCTGAGCTGCTGGGATTACAGGCGTACGCCACCGTGCCTTGTTGCTTGGCCTTGGAATGCCCATTCCAGGGGCAGGGCTAACTCAGATACATATGGGAACTTCTAAACCCATTAGAGAGAAAAGGGGAACACTGGGAATGTGGGGGCAGAAGAAAGAAGGGAGAGAGAGGGAGGGAAATAAGAAAAAGCAAGGGCTGGGGATATAGCTCAGTTGGCAGGGTGCTTGCCTTGCATGCACAAGGCCCTGAGTTCAATCCCCAGCACCATCACAAAAAAAAAAAAAGCAGCATACAAAAAGTAGGACAATCAA